ATTTCGGATGAGGAGCGGAATGAAAACAATAATTTTTAATTATGTATTGTCCTTATGTGTTATTGTTTGTATCCCCCTCCCTTTGAGTTGTAAGCCGCCCTGAGTCCCCCCAGGGAAAAGGGCGGCCTATAAATAAATTCTCAAATACTCAAATACTCAAAATGTTAGCAGGTTGACACTGTACACGCGAGTCCTTGTCACGCTGGCAGTGAACACTAGATTCCCAAAGTGGAAGATTGAAATGCCATCTGCAGATGTGGAAAGGAAGGATTCCTTGTGCAGCATCCATATTAAGAGTTTTGCAAAGCTTTAGAATCAGGCTTTTTAAAATGCAATCTATTAAACAATTGTCACTTTTTTTTAATAGAGTTGCATTTCTGCCATAGAAACGGCTTCCATCTGTTTCTGCTGCATGTATGCATATAGCGACATATATGCTGCTGCATGTATGCATATAGCAGAAAGGCAGAATAATTCTTTGGAAATTGTTTTATTTGTTAGAAATACATAATGTGTGGTATAACTTAGGGCTTTATAAAGGTTTTGATGCATGTACGCATATAGCTTCTGGAGCCTTGGACCTTGATTGTTTTAATTTGAAAAGTGACACTTTATGAACTTTGTCCTGACTATCACTGAAAATCTCTTTTCAAAACCTTTATAGAATCCTAGGTTATACCACACATGTGTTTTTAACAAATAAAACAATTTCCAAAGAATTAGTTCTCTAAAAATGCTGCCTTTTTGTATAGGGAACACTTTGTGGTTGCAATTTTTGTTGTTCTTGTTCATATTGTGATCATAATAGCAAAGCCTTAATTTTCCTTTCTGTTTTAGGAGAAAGCTTCAATATGTCTTCTAATCTGTTGCCCAAGCCACGAATGAGAGATCTCCTGGGAAGATTTGCAAGAAAGAATTTTCTGATAGGAGTTACTTTAGTAACAGGAAGCTTTTTTCTCTTGGAGGTCAGGATTTTTTGTGTTAAAACTTCGTGTAAACCAGATTTTTTTTATTCTTAAGAGTAATTTTAAATATTTGGGCAAGTCCTGAAAAATTACAAATAACCCTTGTTTAATGACCAGTGTCTGTTTGCAGTTATGATGCTGAACAAATGATAGTTACAGCAAGCACTTGACGCTATGGCTGTTGCAGTGCTCTCATGTCACATGATCAAAAGTTGGGTGCTTAGCAGGCTGGCCAAGCTTACAATTGTAGGGTGTGTTTCAACTCCCCCCACTACCTTCCTCCCCCATCTCTGCTCTCCTGCTCGCTTCTCCTGCTGCTTCCAGGGTGACCTTTGTTATGCTCCTCAGTCAGGTGTGTGTGTGGTATCAGTGCTGGGCTTGCCACCAGTCTTCTTGGCTGCCAGTCTCGCTCACCACACATTCCCCTATGCACAGCCATTCTGTTTTCCAGGGTTCCAAATATTTGGTAGAACTCACTGCTTTCTACTGGCTGCTAGCCATGGTAAAGGTATTGTAAAGCAACTATTTGTTCCAAGGGAGTGGGGCACCTCCCAGGAATCAAATGAGAACAAGGGGAACATAAAACCTGTTGTATCTCAGAGCTTGAGGATCAGGTCCTTGCCATGACCCTTCTGGAGGGTACCAAAACAGAGCTTTGATCTTCATGATTTAAGCCTTATTTCTACATTCTGAAGAAGAATGTCAGTTTCCCTCAGCCAGCAGCTCTTTCAGTCAGCCCTCCGAGATGAGAGGGGATCTTTTCGGCAGGTGGCAGCAGCCTGTAACCTTCCCTGCTGGCTTCCTCTTTGACTATGGGGGAAACTGGCAGAGGAGATTGCAAATGGCAATAACATGATAGGGCATTTGATGACTGATTGCATGTGTGAACAGGGATCCATGTGCCTAACATACATTTATGTGACTCCAGAAGTTGGGGATGGTGATGTTTGATGTCAGTTGGAAGTTATTTATGGGTTATATAAATCACTTCTGTGGTGGCGCAATGGTTAGAGTGCAGTACTGCAAGCTACTTCTGCTGACTGCCGGCTGCCAGAAGTTTAGCAGTTCGAGTCTCACTGGCTCAAGATTAACTCAGCCTTCCATCCTTCCGAGGTCAGTAAAATGAGCACCCAGATTGTTGGGGGCAAGATGCTGATTCTGTAAACTGCTTAGAGAAGCACTGTGAAGCGGTATATAAGTCTAAGGGCTATATAGCACCCTTTCTGAGGCCATGATAAGTATAAATGGTAAAAAGTCAACTAGCTGAACCAGAAATGTTTCCATTTCTAAGCAGTGGTGTCACATGTTTCCTTTAAAGACTGCTCTTTAGCAAGGAGAATTCTGTTCCCAATTAGGGTCATTAAGCAAGTCCCAGGTAAATAGGTACAGGATTGTAGTGTTAACAGTGTACACCTTTTTCATCATTGCATCACTGTTTTCTCAACATTTTGTAAACAATTTACGCTGCCCACGAGTGTTTTCATAGACATTGCTCTTATTTTTTTACAAAAATGTTTTTGTTCAGTATTTAATCGAATTGCCTGTGTTAAAGTCTTGTAATGGTAATTTTTTTCTCCTCAGCATTATTTCATTCAAGCAAAGCAAAATAAATACAGAGATTTCTATAAAACATTTGATTTTGCGAAAGACTTTGAGGACAAGAGAAAAGCAGGAGTGTTTCACAGCGTGAAGCCCTAATGACATCTGCTAATCATAAGTAAGCAATCGTTCAGCTTCTGCTTTAATAATTCAAGGGAATGCTTCTTTTAAGCTAGCTTGGATAGTGTAGCATAGGATTAAAGTGCTGATATCAAGTGAGAAACCCGGGTTTTCTCCCTTATTAGAAGCCAGCTGGGTGATCTCAGGCCACACATTTTTTTCTCCACCCTGACCCAGGAAGTCAAAACGCTTTCCAGGAGAAGCCAATAGCAGACAACAGAATTGCTTTGTGGGTTGGATGGCATAAATAAGACTGATTAAAACACTCACATTGTTAGCAAAGAAATGGCACAGACCTGGTACTGGTGCATATTGAAATACAGAATAAAAGTAATTCACTTAGAGCAAAGTAAAATAAAATAAAATGATTCATTTAGTTTTAACTGAAGTTACTCCTATGATTTTTTTCCATTGATGATGTACTTTCTTAATTCTAATATTCATGTGCTTTCTTGGAAAAAAATGTAGCCGTTTCATTGCTGCTAATTTTTAGCAGTTTTCAAATCATGCTGTTAGAAGCTTTACTATTAAGCACAAAGTGGCTAATTATGTTTGCAGTGGCATTTCATCATATCATGAACTCGTTTTAGGGTTACAACTGTTAGAGCCTTTAGGCTTCATAAAACAAATATTTTATAAACAACTTACATAAAGTAATGTTTTGCATATCTTTTTCAAAATGGGAGAATAAATTCCAGTTTCTTAACTTATTTTTTTGTTTTTCAGAGCATCCTTTTGGGGACAAAATAATCAAATATTATTGTGATCAATAACGATCACCTTCAATGTTGATCCTGTTGTATTGTGTTCATTAAATCAAATCTTTATCTTGGAATGTGTCTTGGCTTCTTTCAGTTGGTATCAAGAAAAGCTCACGGAAAGCACTGCAGTATTTCATCATCATCATCATAATAGTTGGAAAGGGACCTTGGATGTCTTCTAGCCCAACCCCCTGCTCCTTGGACAATGTGCCAGGCTGAAATGTCCCTAGTAGCAGATATTTTTTATGTTTTCTTTCTAAAATAAAACACTGAGAGGAGGGTGTGTCAAGTCTAAGGGACAACAGGAAAAATCTTGATACTATCCATGGATCTTTTTAGCTTCCTTTTAGCAGCAGTTGGAAGCAATTTTTCTCTCTCCTTTTATAGCTTCTGCTTCACAGAGAAATGGGCAAAAAGGAGAAATGAAGACTGGACTGTTTTCAGTGACCATCTGAAGGTGAAGTGTATGGTATCCACATTTTACATTTACCTTTATAATTTTTTTTCAGAACATTTATTGAGTACCTTGCAGGTAGCACACTGTTGAGCAACAACCAGATTTTCTTTTCTTTTGTGATAATATAAAAGTAGTTATAAAATTTGCTGTTATTCACAAGAGTTCACTTTGCAATACGTGTTGTGGAAACGTGCCACATAGTTGTGGGCAGGCAGATGCAAATGGCTGCTTTTGGCTTTTAAGAGCTGTACTGCAGTAGGATAGCAGCTTATCTAAGTTGGCATTAGTTCTACCATTGTCCATCTAGAAATTTAGGAACACACAGGTTTATTGATGAGATTAATGGCACCTTGCCCCTTCTTGGACGTTTCAAAGTTAGTAAAATGATTTTGTTCAATTAATTGGTCACTAGGTTCTTGATTCAAAATCTGTTATTCGATATTGATGGATTTTTTTCACCAAGTCTTTCATTTTTCAGTAGTTGTCTGCTGTTAACTCTCCAATCTGCTAAAATTTTGGGTTGTTCTTAGCAATATGCTGTCCCTTTAAGAGATTTTGCTGACCATAAGAGGGAAAGAAAAAACTAGCAAGCAAGTGAACTTGTGACCAAAAAGGCTATGTTTATAATGCATCCAGGTAATTCTGTCAGACATCCACCTGGCCCAGAACTGTTGCTTTCTGACAAAATTATTAAGCATGTTATGACATATCAGATGTCATAAAAATTTTCCTGAGTTGAACATGGCTGCTTTAAGGCAGTTACATCTCTGAATCCTTACTGAATTTTAAAGAACATTTCAAGCGCATTAAAAGCTCTGCTATTGTTGAAGACATTGAGGAATCTGATAAGGATATATGGTATCTGAACTGGTGACCGAGTAGCACATGAGTTATCTAGTCCTTATGCAAATATTTGATTGAACTGGGAACTTCTGGCCCCAGTCTGCTCCCCCTGACCAGCAAGGCCCTCTAAGGACCATTTATGGTGGTGAACATTATATAATACGCAAAATAGTGTAGATTAATTATTTCATGCTTTCAGTGTTCAGACATCTACATTATTAGTTGCAATCCTTAGACTACTTTATAGTAAATATAACTTCATATATTATATGTTAACTATAGTGGGAGGACTATAAATTGACAGTTGAGTTACCCAACAATGCAATACGTTTACGATTGAAGCACAATTTGTTTCTCAGATTTCCTAACATCACTAAAAGCACTATAGCATAGTGCTTTTAGTGATGCCATAGGGATTCCAGGAATCCCATCCCATGCATACCCTGCTATGAACTGCATGGCATGGGATGGTCTCTAAAGATGCCCTTGCTTTTTGAGGTATTGCAGGTCAAGGACATTCTGTTTTGCTCCCAAGTCATACTGTACTCTCAGTGTATACTCGGCTTCCATTCTTCCTGCTTTGATGACAAAAGATATTTTTTCTTTAGCCAAGTGCTTGAATTAATTGCAATTGTTAACATTTTCAGATTGTAAATAATATTTTTTTTAATTGTTAGCTGCCCAAAATGTGTTCTGGGCAGGAAACTGGAATCTAATTCTTATAAATATTCAAATATAATTAGCCATGCAACTAATTTTAATCTTAAAAGTCAGTTGCAGTATAGGTCGTGTTCAGAGATAACAAGGACAATAAATCTCAGGGAGATTTTTAAAAAAGTATCTTCGTATAGTATTTTCAGAACTGTAGCTAGGTCAGCACTTTAAATTTAATTGGATTTGTAAAGCAATCGCTATAATTTAGAAGAGCTTTAAACAAATTTGGTTGCTCTACTTTATAATCTATCCTGTTTGTGCTAGTTTATTATTTTAGCACTTTATAAATACATTTCTTTTGACTCAAATTGCTACAACAGTACTGTCAACAGACAAAGTTGCAATATAACTCTTTATTTCACATGAAAGATTCAAATATAAAATACAATATTTTAAAGCAGTGTAAGTAAACGACTAACAAACAACTTAATAAACATTTAACAAAGGGTGTATCTAGTTTGTACTTAGGATAAACCCAGTTTTCAAAGGCTGAATATTTTAAAAATGGAACACATAGGTTATGTGACAAAATCAAAAGAGCTTTCAAAATCTCTGCCTAGAAATGTACTGGAAACAGCGACAATTGGCTAAAACAGTTTAAATTCAGTACCTAGCTCCCACATAGTTTTGTAGTGCAGATTGGCCTTGTACAGATTAATGTTGAGTTCTTGCCTTAAAAAGCTGAGCAGGGTATTAGAGTAGGGAGGAAAAGAGAAAAAGAAATGTTTAGGACCCAAAGTGTTAAATTAAAATAAATAGCTAAGAGCCCAGAGCAAACACATCTTTTGAAACTATAGCCTGCTGATCACAGTTCAATCTATTTAAACCGAATAGCTATTTTATGCCGGTGATTCTTCTACAATTTGAAGTTGAAAACAGATGTTGAAAAATCTATGGAAAAGATACATTTAAAAACATCCACTATTAACATACTAGAGGTCTCTGAAAAATTAGATTTACACAGGAAATGAGAAATCTGATAACTGATCCAGTAACACAGCTGTATGGTCTAAAATGGTTTGGCCATACATCCATGAATTTTACTTTTCCTGGGTTGATGGTTTAGTGTAGTTTTCTATGTCACAAGTATATACTTTTAAAAAAAAAGAATGTGTCATTTAACCTTCTGGTGCAAGTGTAATTACTGAATATTACAGCAGTAATGAAACCAGGCACTAGTTTTATGGTTTACTGGGTCCTTTCCAGTGGATATATGGGTTTAACTTCGGATGACAGTGGGTAATAGGGCTATATGAGAGCTGATACTCTGGCTACTAACTTGTTCAGTTAAAAATTCAAATGCACATCTCATAGTATTAAATAGCATTTTCAGTGATACACTGAATCTCTTTATTTTATAGAAAACTGTGAGACAAATATGAGTTCAAGTTATGTCTACTTTTTAAACATGGCTATATAGGCTTCAAGTTAATCATGTATTTAGATGAGCTTTCCCTATGCTGGCACCTACCCAGAATTGCTGCAATTACAACTGCATGACTTGGAATTATGAAACCCAAATTGTGTTTGCTGTGGTGCTCTAGTATGGATATGCTGATCAAAATGAAAATTTGTTAATATAACCAATGTAGNCTCCAGAAGTTGTGAATGCTCCAATACTGGAAGACTTTAAGAAGATGTTGGATAGCCACTTGTCTGAAGTGGTGTAGTTTTTAAGAAGGGATTGGACAACCATTTGTCTAAAATGATACATAGGGTTTCCAGCTTGAGCAGGGGGTTGGACTAGAAGACCTCCAAGGTCCCTTCCAACTCTGTTTCTCTGTTATTCTGCTAACTTCACCCTGGCAGGCTCTGGGAGCCCCACCGCGGACATTCACGATTAGCGCATTGCGGGACTCAGCACTGTAAACGAGGCTCCAAAAAGAGAATCAAGAGTTTCGCAGCACCATTTTGCCTTTCTTGCGTACAGCCGAACGGTGGGCGCCAGGTTGAGGAAGGATCCCTTCGGCCGCCTGCACCGTCCCACCCGCTCCTTGAACCGCGTTTTACTTAATCCCGAATCCCGTCGCGCCGCAGCGCCGCGTCAACTTTCAGCCCCGCCCCTCTCCTGGCAAAAGCCACCCACCTTCGGCGCTGCCCCTCACCCGCCACGCCTCGCTCTCCGAGAAGCAGCTGCCGCGATGCAAGTTTGGCCTGAGTGCTTGCCGTAGTTACATCCCCGGGACGCGCATGCGCAGGTTGGAGCCGTGCCTCTGAAAGTGAAGGCGTTAAGGACGGCCTTGGCTCTGTAGGGGTCAGAGAAGGAACTTCCTCCTGCTTTGGCGTCGGGCGTGAGTATCCGTGGCGGCCTCCTGCGCGGTTCTCCTTCCCTCCCCTTTGGGGGGACGCCGGGCTTAGCTCGACACTGAGACGGTCCAGAAAGAACAGTCTAGGGACAGCCCGGGGAATGGGGGAGGCGGGAGTCCTTTGGGGTCTGGCGGTGCAGTTGGTGGGCGGGGGGGAGGGAGGAAGAGGAGGAGGCTGAAGGCGTCCGTCTATTTTGGGGTCCCCGCCAGATGCAGCAGAATCGCTCTGGGCGGGAGGTTGGACCGAAAGGATAAGATGATTTTTGCCTCGCGATTTGCTTTCCTCTCTTCCTCTTGCGGTCATTTGGACGTGAATTAGTGGCCCCAGGCGAATCCTGCAGATGGAAGATTATTTGTAGACTGTGATTAAGGAAACTATGGGTTGTAGTGCGGGAAGCGGGGAAGAGACCATTTGCTGCATTTCGGATGAGGAGCGGAATGAAAACAATAATTTTTAATTATGTATTGTCCTTATGTGTTATTGTNAATATAACCAATGTAGCAATTGTTATGTTGCTTGGATGTAACTTAATGGAACATACTTTGAGTACTGCATCTTGGATCAGCCGATGATTTAAATTATCTTCTCATTTTTGGTATCCTTGGCTAAACAAAAGTTGTAAAGCTTTATATAATGCAAGTTACTGGTCCCTCATTAATAGTCCATGAGAACTCTTGCATAATGATACATTGTTAAAGAATTGCAATAGCACATACATTCAACAATCTTCAGAAAACATTGCTATCTTTTATG